CCTTGGAGTTGGAACCACCTCATAGCTGACCCTCCAACAGGTTTTCAGGAAGCTCTAAATTGCACAGGAGGAGACTGCCCATCATTTTCATGAACTCCTTTTCAGTTATCAGCACAGCTCTCTAGGGACGACGCCACCACAATTCGTAAGGAGTTGTGCTGCTAACCTCACTGGTGGTTCAAATCCACCAGCAGCTCCACCAAGAAAAACAAGAATACAGGAGCTCAACAGTCCTTCTATGATCAACAACAAACTACACATCAAGCTCTCATTTATTCTTCAACTCTCTGCTCAAAATGCACTTCAAATAACTTCTTGCAACTTTTCCTTAATTTTTCTTCATCATAGTTAATCAATGGATTCAATATATTATTGCACACTTAGGTATTCACTTCTCTTTATGCCTGTAACATATTATGTTTCAGGTGGATGTCTTTACCTCCATGCTGTGCTGAAAAGGCCTTGAGGCAGGTGACTTTGTTTAACAAGGCTGCCAGCACTGACTGGCACATAGCAAATCCTCCCCAACTGAGGGCTGACCTGAACAAAGAAACTTTAAATACATACACCTGTGTATGCCAGTTATCTTGAAAGGATCAGGAGTAATTTTCAGAAAGATACTTAATATTCTTCACCCTACGTCAAAACCATCTTTAAAACTCAAAGAATAAACACCTATCTGAAGAAACTGTATATATATCACTTACCGTCTTACTTAAATGCGACATGAAGGAATAGATTAAAAGAACCACATTTTCTAAAGGTGTTGCACTTGCTATCTCTTCAGTATTTCTTTCAAGCTGGTTTTTGGCAACAACAGGCATACCTTCGGTTGTAATTATTCCTAAAATTAAGAGGGAAGACAGAATTTATGTTACAGAAAAATATCTGTTTTCCATAAAATGTTTATTAGGTGCCCAGTAGCCTGACATGTATAGTCTTTCTAAAGATACTTATATAGATAAGAAAACTCAGAATCCCAGTTAGAGCCATTTTACTTTTCAGTAGTAGAATGAACATATCTCCAGTTTCCACTCACACACACACTCTCATTCTCTCTCTCCTCATTAGCTGTCTCCATCATCTCCCTCACAATGAAATGCTAGTGAACAATAAGTAAAAAGAGTTTCTGTTTGCAAATTTATAGATGGGATGCTCCAAAGCTCAGCACAGTCTCTGGCATGTGGCCAGCATAAAATAATTATTTATTGAATGAGTGAATGATCTTAGAGGAAAGAGAACAAAGTAAATATCAAGAGGAATTAATAAATACAAAGGGAATTAATACTGCTTACAGGATGGGAGCCCTGCAGACCTTAAAGAATTTCAATGTTAGAGGCTAGTGAGGGGATTTTGGCATAACTTAGGTAGGAGTCTAGGGGCATATTTTGTGAACAGCTAGAAGTCTTACAGAACAGTACTTAAGATGCATGGAGGGACATTTGAGAAGATGAGCCTGTAAAAACGGTTTATGACTCTGTAGCAGACATTATACAAGAAAGCAAAAGAATTTGTTTTTAATTATGTAAAACAAAATTTTTGCTAATCCTGAAGGGTTTTAGGCAAAGAATAACAAGGCTTTAAAAGTGCATAACTCAGGTTCAACAAATTAAAATGTTTTATGAGCTAAAAAGGATTAAGAGTTGAGTATTAGATATGAATGCAATGTTTTCTGGAGCATGGGGACCTCAAACTAGCTGAATTTATCTGCGTGCTGTGATATCTCTGATACTTGGTGGAGGCAGGGGGCCAGGTGTGAGGCAGGGAGGTGTTGGCCCAGTGCTGCCAAATCTTACAGGTGCTACTCGGTAAGGCTATACATACTTGCAGATAATAACCTTTAGAAAACATAAAAACATGGTAATAATAAACATGCCACATATTAGATAGACAAAAATAAGGCAATCAGCTGTCCTTTTCATCTACTGGTAAAACAGGAATGTTGTTATGTGCTGTGAAGTCAGAAATGACTCGCAGCTGACCCTCCAGCAGGTTGTCAGAGGTTATACATCACAGTCAGTAGATTAGGAGATGTATTGCACTGGTAAATCTGCTGGCAGAAATATCTCCAAATTACTGAGTAGCAATGACATCAGTTTGAAGACTAAGGTGCACCTGATTCAGGCTGCGGTCTTTTTAATCTTCAAAACTTGCTATGCATCTGAGAGCTGGAAAATGAATAAGAATGACAGAAGAAGAATTGATGCCTTTGAATTGTGGTGGTGAAGAAGAGCAATGAATATCCCATGGAGTGCCCACAAAACCCCAGAGATATCTTGGAAAAAAGTGCTGTCAGAATACTCCTTAGAGACACGAATGATGAAACCTTGTCTCACATTATTTTGGGCATATTTCTATGAGGGGCTATTCCTTGGAGAGAGATACCATGCTTGAAAAAGTAGAGGGTCGGCAAAAGAGATGGACTGACACAGTGACTGCAGCCATGGGTTAAGTGTGTCAGAGATGAGGACAGCATAGAATAGGACAGGGTTCAGCTATGTTGTTCATGTTGCTATGAGTTGTAATCGACTTGATGGCACCTCACAACAAATCATACAGAAGAAGATTACCCATCTTTCTCCCTTGGAGCAGCTGATAAATTTGAACCACATGCCTTTGGGTTAGCAGTCCAACTCCTTACCACTAAGCCAGACTGAGCAACACCATGAGAATGCTTCTGATACCATTATTGGGTTGTTTACATAAATGTAATAAATAAACAGCTGTCTCAAGTCAAATGAGATGCTCTACCTCTAAGTAGTTGCTGTGTGCTGTGACTGCTACTGAGAGTGTTAGTCTACAGCGGACTGCTTCATCCTGTAAAGCTCTCGATTGCTTCCTAGGAGCCTATAATATAAAGACTGCTGTCAATTGCCATCAAGTTGGTGTGAATCATGGTAGCTCCAAATCATGTAGAGAGTACAAGTGCTCCATAGCATTTTTTAAGGTTATCACCTCTTGCAGGAGACTATCCCCTGAGAAACCTCTGCATGGGTTCAAACTACCAACCTTTTGACTAGTAGTCAAGTGTTTAAATATTTGTGCCAATCAGGGACTAACAGTATAAAGCATACTTGTATGTTTAACACGTCTGGGTATCAAATGAAAAAGAACTGAGCTACATGGTATTCTACTGGGAGATGGAAGAAGTGGAAAAAGCAGAGTGAGTTTAAGGGTGGTAGTTCTCAAGCTTCAAGCTGGGCTAGTATTTTCTGGAGGGCTTTTTAAGCACAAATTGTGGATCAACCTCTGAATTTCTGATTCTGGAGGTGGTCAATTTTGCATTTTTAAAATTCCTGTGATGTTAATGCTGATGGTCTGGTTTCGATTAAAATTATATTTACAAAAGCAGTATAGCTAAACAATGGTTTGTCACATTCTTTGGCATCCAACTTTTAATCTCCATCTAGGCTTACTCTTGCTTTTCTTTCAATTAATTCTGGGATTCCTTTTTCTTGTTTGTTTGTTTGTTTGTTTGTTTTAATGAGTACATTCTTGTGACCTGGTCAGTAGGGAGGTGTACTGCAACCCAAAGGCAGACAGTTTGAATCCACCAATTATTCCAAGGGAGAAAGATGGGCAGTCCCCTTCAGGGTGACTTACAGCATCTGAATACATGCTTGCTAGAGAGTCTGCTGAGAATCAGTTCTGACTTGACGGCAATGCATTTGAGTACGTGGCTACCTTTGACAACAAGACCCTTAGTAGGTATTTTTTCTTGTTGTTCGTCACTATTAATCAAATATTTTTAGAAACACAAATCAAGTATTTTTTCCCACAATTAGTACCATATGCCTTTATACAGTTAACATCCCATCATCACCTAGCACGGATAATGAAGTAGGTATTTAGTTATGATGTGCCTCTATTTTGTAGGAGAAAACAAAAAGGCAGGCTTTACCTGGGTCTAAATTCTTCTCAGTTGTTGGCATCTGTGATACTTCTGAGACAACTGTGTCATTAGTCTCAAGTTGATCCAAGTGGCCAGTCTCTTCAAGAACTTGCTCATTAAGATCTTCTATGTTCTGTGGTGGTAAGTGATCTTCATCTGAAAGTTGTATCTCTAGAAAGAGGGATTCATAGCACTAGCAAAGTTTGATGACATTGCCCATCAACCTCATACAACTTCAAGAGGCATCTCAACCTGTCCTCCACACTACCAGCATCCCCCGATGTAAGGGAAGTGTGCATAAATGGTCTGATTGTGTTAAGTGAATAGTCTCAATTTTTTAAATCTTATTTCAAATATTATTCCACATAACAAAATTCACAGATGTACCTTTAGTCCATACAGTTCATAAATAAGTATATTATGGTACAGATTTGAATAATTTTATTTTCTTTGGCAAACTAATACATACCTGTGTTGTAGTGGGTCTGCTACAAAAAATTTAGTTTCCCTAGTCTTTTATCCAATCCAGCCACCTCAGCTTTGCCTGTCGTACAAATGCAACAGCCAACCTACATCAGCAACAGCTTCATGAACCATCTCTTCCTCATGCAAAGATGGCCTATCTGTTTTGGTTTTTTTTTTTAAGTGTTTAATCAGATTTTAATCTCGACAGTAAACCCCATTTGGCCATGATATGTAGTTATTTTTTTTTTACAGAGATTTTGGGTTTTCATTCATTCATTGTTGCACTGTTTTCTCCACCCTCCTCCCCAGTTCGTCTTCTTCCCCCCCCCCCAATGTCTGTTTTAATTGTCCAATTGCCACAGTGCCTATCTGTTAATCCACAAGAAGAGTAACCAGCCTCACTATTAGATTGGGCAGATTCAGTAGACGAAAGGGAGAAATCTCATCACCGTGAAAAAGAAGAAAAGAAAAAAAAGCAGAGCGTACAGTCCACGTCCTTCCGGGACAGGGATGCCCGTACTAGGGGTTGAATTCCGAGGTGGTCTCTGGACTGAGGGATTGTATCTTGTAACTGAAAAGCTGTCAAGACTAAGGGATTATATTTGCTGTTAACTGAGAAGTTTTCTAAACTGAGGGATTGTATTTGTTGTTAACCTAAAATATAGCCTGTTAATGTCCCTAATAAACCTCATAACCATAAGTATGGTTCTGAGAAGTCTGTGTGGTCACTGTGATAGATTTCTACCCAGTAAGTAGGTCCAGGAGCAGGAGAGGCCATGCTTGACTTGATGGGAATTAGTGTGGTGGTATGAATGCTTTTGACGGGGGCACTTCTCCTTTGTGGAGTTAGCAAAGGTCAGATGCTGCCTTCCTTGCATTGCCCTTGCTCTAATTACAATGCTACCCATGTAGCATTGGATAAATGTACAAAAGATTAATTCCAATCGTGAAAAGAAATACAGAATATTCATTCTACATAAGAATAACATAAACTCTTTTATACAAAAGATATGTACTCACAGAGATGCTCTAGAGAGAGATCCTACACACAAAAACAGCTTGCTGAAAAGTCTTTCAAATATTGTGAACATAAAACTTCCTTCCCTACAAATCTCCAGGCATAGCCTAGCCAAGGCTCCCTAGTTGAGCTATGCGAGCATCAAGTTGATTGCCATTCAGAGCAACCCCATGGGACAGAGTAGAACTTGTAGGTCTTGTCTCTTGTGGAGTCACTGACAGGATCAAATTGCCTACCTTTGAATTTGAAGCCAAACCTTAACCATTGCAACACCAACACTCCATAAAGGAGCATCAAAGTAAAGACACAATTCTTTGCAATCTCCTATTATACCCTGAAAATTCCTCTGAATGTTGTACTCTAATACAAAATAAATTAGCTTTGAATAAATGCAAATGTGCTCTCCTCCCAGATTTTCAGGAAAAATTGGAAGATATATTTACTCCACCACACACGGTCAGTTCAAACACGCCAATTTGAAAAACACAGATACGGGAAACATGATGGAATCAACAATCAGAATGATTATTTTATGATACCAACTCAGAGTCAATTCAAGAAATACTTATCAAATGCGTTTTAAGTGTCAAATGCTATGGTGAAAGGGTCCATCACACTGACAATTCTTTATCATTATTATTAATTTTAATGAACATTTACAGAGATTTTGGATTTCCATTAATTCATTGTTGTACTTTTCTCCCTGCCCACACCTCCCAACCCCAGTTTGCTCCTCTCTTTGAAAAGCAAAAGAAGAACTCCTTCATTGGTATACAATCTCCCCACCCCCACCCCAGAGTACACTCCATTCTGCAACCTTCATTCCAGACTCTTATGATAACCATAATACCCTATAATATATTGCTTTTAAACGATTCTTTCCCTCATCCATTTCAATGCAGTATACATAATTTATCCAGTTTTTCTCATTCATACCCCAGCCCTGATGACACTGACAATTCTTAAAGAATGCTCAGGCACTGGAGAACTCCCAAGGAACAGAAAAGAACATGGCAACCATATGCACACCCATGTTTGTCTCGGCTTTGTTCACAATAGCAAGGAGTTGCAAACAACCTAAGTGCCCATCAACAAACGAATGGATAGAGAAGCTGTGGCATATTCACACAATGGAATACTATGCTGCATTGAAAAACAAGGAACTCGTGCAATATTATTCAAAATGGCTGAACCTGGAGGACATTATGCTGAGTGAAGTATCTCAGTCACAAAAGAACAAATACTGCACGGTGTCTCTGTTGTAAAAAAGGGCTGACCTTGGGGATGGGGGGGGGGAGACTGAGAAAGATGGATTCAATAATATATACTTCATTGAAACAGATGAGGAAGAAAACTGTTTAAGAGGGATTTGTTATTAGGTATTTTTGTCATGACAGGAGTCCAGAGCGAAGGCTGTATGGTGGAGTGGATCTGGGGGGAGGGATTATAAAACAAATACTTTTTCTTTTCATTTTCCAAGAGGGTAGTGTACTAGGGCGGAGGGTTGGAAGGGGAGAAAAGTGCAACAATGAATGAATGGGGGGGAGATAAGTTGAGAGGAAAAGGGGAATTCAAACAAGGATTTATTTAAACACTATACCAGTCAATCTGGTCTAGAGAGTAGTTATTTAATGATTAAGAAACTGTTTTCAATACAGCCCTTCCATCAGCTTACATGAGATCTGTACTTTGCTCACACAGACTTTACTCTGTGCCACATTTCTGTTTGTATCTTTCTCTTTTAGCTTTTTGGAAACATTCGCTTTAAAGATGAGAGCCAGTCTCAACAGTTTTAAGGGAACTAAGGCAAGAAATTTCTATCCATGCTCCAGGTTAAGAGCAAAAAGACAGGAACAGACATGTGGACTTCATTCTATTTTCTCTCTCATCTAGTTACTTTATAAATTGTGAAGAGAGCTGTATAAATAAAATTATTTTATCACTGATCCTACCAAGTGCTCTCACCCATTTTCTGAAGTCCATGTCTATAAAGGTAAAGGCAAGTACCTTACCTTCGATAGGTCCTTCCCAGCTTTCCTCAGGAGGCTGTGTCACTGCCACTGGTCTTGTCTCCTCTGATGTGAAATGCTTGTATCTGACAAAATAGATCAGGTCTTGAACATCATCCAACACTGCAGCCTCTTCAAATATGTCATTTTCCTTTATTTCCAGATTTTTATTTTCAGCCATACGCGTATCAATCATTTTTTCTGCTGTGCTCAGGATGTGTGACTCGGAGGCACGGAAGACCTTATCTAGGACTTTATCAACATTATAAGGCAGGCTCTCCTGTTGGGCCGACTTCAGCCTTAATGACATTTCTTGGAACATGGCTTCCAGCTGATGGATATCGAAGTACTTTTGGAACCGTTGCAAAGACTGTTCTGCTTTAAAAAAGCTCCTTATTATAGGCAAGTCTTTCTCACTGTCAATATGTTCTGGCTTCACAGTTGTATGTGCAGCCCAGTGGTCAACGTGATCTTCCAGCTCTTCAGAAGCAGCCCACTGGACTTCTGGGTCCATGAATTTTCGTACATCATCGTGGTCCTCTTTAAGGAATTCTCCCTCAGGCTTCTCTTCAGGCCTTGATGTCTTTATATGCTCCGCAGGGGCGTCATCTTTATGGTAATCAGAATCTTTATTTGGAAGCACTTCACCTAACTCTGGAGTGTGATTTTTTTCAGGAGAATGTGTGTGTGGAGAGTCACTTACTTCAGATAATCGGTGTATTTTCTTAGCTACAGAAGGGCTTCCTTCTTTTTCCACTTCCATGTTTGCTGGTTTCTTGAATTGTGTAACTACCTCTTTGTCCACAGTTTTCGGGGTTTTTTCAGTCTCCAAAAGCATACTTGTTTCGATTTTGTTTCTCCCAATATCTGGATCAGGATTAACAGTCTCTAACGTAACTCTCTCAAGGGCTCGCAGATTAGCATCTAACATCCTGTCCTGAATCCCAGTGCCTTTTTCTTGAATCCCAGTGCCTTTTTCTTTAGACTGTTTTGCACTTAAAGCATTTTCATCTTCTAGCAGTTCTTTTGAGTTGTAGTCATCGTCATCTGCTTCAGCTTCTTCCGTGTGTGAACCTGGTGACTGTGTGCTATCAGCCCAGTCTCTTTCTCCCACTTCCTGTGTGCCCTGCCCTGCCTTGTGGTGGACAATCTTTTTGTCTGAGGTGTCCTTTTGGACTGCCTCTTCAGACAGCCCTGTGTCCTCATTCATGTGCTTATTTACTGCAGGAGCCACATCCTTTTCTTGTTGCCAAGAAAGATTTTTTCCCTGAACAGGAACTTCTTTTTCCAATTCTGTCGGCAAAGTGACTTCATCAGGAGAGGAGAATCTAAGCTGGTTTGGGGTTTTATGAGTGAGTTTCTCTTTAAGTGCTTCACCCTGATGCTCCTCTGAAAGTTTGTTTGGTTCTGGTCCGCTTACCAAAATATCCACTTCCTGTACACTGTCTTCGGATGCATTGTGCTGATTATCTCCTGAAAGTGGTGCAATATACCTGGATTCCTCTTTCATTTTCTCTTCATGAATCTGTTTTTCTGCAGTTTTATGCGTAGACTGACTGTCCGGACCAGGTTCTAAACTGTGTTCATCAGGCTTTTCTTCATGGACCTCTTTTAAGATATGAATAGCTGCTTCTTCTTGGTCATTTTCTTGGTTATCAAAAGGTGATTTTAATGGGCCTCTACCTTTCACAGCAGCTAGCAGGGACTTAAGATTGTTATTATGTGTAGTTCCATGGACAATTGTCTCTTCTTGCTTCATCTCCTCTGATTCTGTCTCATCTTGTTCCAGGCTTCTCTTAGGTTCCTGAACTAACTTGCCTTTCCCTTCAATGTCAAGTTCAGTGGTCATTTTGGGGTCTTTATCATCATTTGTTTTAGTGATTTCTACAATCAAAATATTATCTTCTGTATTTTCAGGGTCCAAGGAATCCCCAGCTGATTGCTGTTCTCCCCATTTCGTGTCTGGAATTACCAGACTCCTGGCATTTTCTTCCACTTGTTCCTTTGAATTGGAATTCTCTAAACCCACCATTCCTGTCTTTTCTTCACGTCCCATGACAACAAAGGGAGTATCCTCCAAAGTACCTCGTGTATTTTTGCCATCATCTTGGATGCCAGGAGACTGAGCTGTTTCTGTCACAGTTTCTCCATTTGACTTCTGTTCTTGATCTGTAGGGTATTTCTCAGCTCTGTATTGCTCAGGTGTTTGCACATCTTCTTCACCTGAAAAGGTTAGTAACGGAAGCTCATCAAAGTCTTCTTTATCCTCCTCTTCCTCTTTCCCAACTGTGTAAAACTCACCATCCAATTCCTCATCAAGATCATCTTCCAATGATGTAACAAGTCTGGTTGTCTCGTCATCTGATACAAGTGCATCAGCAGTTGAACCAAATTTGGTTTTCAAGTCGAGGGTCATCTCTTTTTTCAAAAGTTTATAAGCATCAACCTTCCCCTGCTCATCTTGCGAGCTATTGCTGGTTTTGTTGTTTTCACTTTCTGGCCCTTTTAACTTCTCGTGTAGTAGTTCTCCGAAAGGGTCAAATGAAGCATGCTCTCCCTGAGCATTAACTGTTTGACCACTTGCATGAGGGTGATTCTTTGGAACTTCTGGATGCTCGGTGCTGTCAGAGAATAAACTTTCCTTTTCATCTAAGTTGGAATCTTTGGGTTCAGAGTCATGGTCACTTTCATCAGACTCTTCGGCAGGTTTTTCCATGTGCTGAGAATGTTTTTCTACTGTCCTTTCAAAATCTCCAGTTGCAGAATTATATATTTCCCAGGATCTCAAAAGTTCTTTTATATTATAATTATCAAAATCATCTTTTCCTCCATCAAAACAAACAAAATCTGTCTCCTGAAATGAAAAGAAAAATACCAGTGTTACTAACCGACTGTCCTAGACCAAACTCTTACCCAGGCTAAAGACGGGGACAATCTCAAATTCCTATTAGTCTTTCCCAGGGCTTTTGTGCCCACCATAAGTGATGACTCCTCCTGGGCAGTGAGAATATCAGAAGCTGGAACCCACTTTTTCCTGGCTTCCTGCTGCCATTCCTCTACCTGAGGAGTATCCTTGGCTTTCCAGGGTGGTAAGCTAGTTGAGCCCGACCCTTGATTTTCTTTGACATCTGTCTAGCAGCAAGAGTGAACACAAATCCTGTCCTTCATGCTGTCAGTTTCATAGGAAATGACCTCCTTCAGTGAGGCCCACAGTTAGCTAGCTCTGTCCATGGCTGTGTAAGTCATCCCATTATAGACTGCAATGTCAGAAAGTCCCCCCAATTGCTGTACAACTAGGTCATATTTTCCAAAAATCTTTATCAGTTAATAATGATGACATTTCGGACTCCAATTACCTGACATCTGGGTCTCCCCATTTGTTCTAAAGGCAGTTCGGTAAGCAGAGTATCATTCATTGGGAACCCCAAGCCCCAATATTTATGCCTGATGTTCTGTCACAACCATCTGTCTAGGAGAAGATGGAAGACCATCAGTTATTCTACCACTGTGCCCTCTAACCTCTACTTGGTTCACCCAGCTGCCAAGTTCCAAGTCTACAATAATGTCCAGTTCACAATTTCCCGAGACTGAGAAAAATAAACTAAAAAAGTACCTTACTGAATAAGAACATCAGGCACAGGAAAGTGGAGGCTCAGGGTAAGAAACAAAGACCCTTAATGAAATGGATTGATGGTGACTAATGGGTTTATGCTGAGGACTTATGATGCATTTATAATGAGGATTTTGGAAGCAGGAGTGGCATCCACTTCCTAAACAACATGCCTCTGGAAACTCTATGAACTTGGAGAAACGATAGTCATTGAAAGGCTTCAGGTCTTTTGTTCATAGGGTCACTACAAGTTGTGCTCAACTCGATGGCAATCAACAACAATAATGAGGATGACACAGGATACGACAGGGTTCAGACCTGTAGTTCACAGGGTTGCTATGAGTCATATTTGATTATATGGTACCTAACAAGAACAACAATAATGAGTATAAACATAGTGGAGATTTATTCTGAGAATGGAGCAGAATTTGACAGGGTTTCAAGCTATTGTACAAACAGTCACAAAAAGCAAAGTATCTAAGTACATGCAAGTGAAAATGTGAAAGATTTAAAGGAAAACTAAGTGTCTCGAGGGGGCTTCCTTGCTTAATTATTGCCAAAAGAACAAGATTCAGCAATAGAGGGATCCCAATATAATCTAGGGTTCTTAGAAATTGCTGAGTTCTCTATCAGGCCCGTGAGGCAAAGTTAAACCCTAACAAAAATAACTTTCTCTTAACTGTTGTCTCACAGGATTTTGGGGAGCTCTCCCCAATAAAGGGATGAATTCCCCAGCCCTTAATAGTTAAGGAACATGCCATGAGAGGTAGAATTCCAAACAGATGAGGTTTCTGTGACGGACGACCTGCAATCTTCCTGGGCAGTCTCTTCATGAGGAGTGAGGTCAAATGGGCAATGAGCGGATTTTATCATACTCGAGACTATCATGGAAAAATGTAAAGATTAGCAACAGCTGTGAAGCTTCAGTCATTCTACCAATCTCATCTAAGATTTGGTTAGGCTAATAGCTTGCAACCTGCAGAGCAGCTCCAAGCAAAGAGCTCCTCAAAGATTTCTGAACAAAGGTGAAGTAACCATTATAATAAATTTTAAAATTTCCAGGAAATAATTAGTTGGAATGATCCCAGAAAACACAAAACACTGTTAGTTACTAAGCCACTTAAAGTCTCTGTACCATAGATGATTTTGTAGATTTGAGATTAGAATCCCCTTAAGTCAATCGAGTCAATAATAAGTTTGCATATTAGCCTATTACATAGTTAGAGGTATATATCATTTACATCCATGATACATTCTGTGAAATAGGACATTATGTGATTTGAATGTGCAAACGGTATATTAAAACCACATGGGAACCCAAGACCAGCTGTCCTCATTGCTACTGCTCCCACTGCTACTGCTGCCACTGCCACCAGCTGGAGCAGCTGATGGAGGTCAAGAGAAAAATGGTGGGTGAGAGGGCTGAGATGAGAGTATAGCAAGAGAAAGGGATTTAAGAGGGAACATGGAACCCCAGTCTCTCTCTTTCACTGTTCTGCTTACATGCCACACAAAACCTGTGAGCTTGCATACAGAACCACACCCTCTGTCTCACCTGCCTATATCCTACTCACAGTCTAGTGCTGCCAGCGTCTGGGCTTGAAGTCTTTAAAACCATCAGTGGGAAAGAATAAACCAAAGGAGGGCCTTTGGATGTAAACCTTACATGTGTGACTGGGAATTACCCAAACTGAGCTTAAGCAACTGGCTCAAATGCTACTGGCTTTCCTTGGTCCACACCATCCCAAGCAGGTTCTCACAGATAAGTGGGCCTCAGCCTTACCTGGCCCAGTAGAGTGGCAACAGGGGGGGCAAGATAAACCCAAGTGCTCACCTGAGGCATCCAGGAAGTTTTACAACATCCAACTCACATATCATCCTATTTCAGAGACCAGACCGTGCATATTAAGCAGTATATACATGCACTGAAAAATGCCTAATGTTATTCAATGAACAGTTTTCAAATTTGGATATTTCTCCTTCTGCTTACAAATTGGGATACTTCTCTTTTGCTTACAAAAAGAACTGATTTACCTCTTCTTAAACTTAATAACCAGGAACAAAGATATTGATTCTTAATTTTTCACGTGTAACGCAGCAAAGAAAAGACTTGTAGAAACTGATTATGATTACGGTGTCTCAATGTTTTTCAAAAGTTTGTTTCCTACTTTCTTGCATTCCTTTGTTTCTTAAGGTAGGTTCATACCATATTAAAATCTGATGCACAACTATTAAAATATTTTTATTATTTTCCTAAACAAAAAAATGCAGAAAATTCAGACTTTCAAAAATAAGTTAAAATGAATTTAACTTATGAATTTATAAACCGATTCATAATTGAGAACAAAAGCAAAAAATGCATGACTTACATCTGTTGGAAGTTGTAACTCTTCTTTAGTATATTCATGAACTACTTGGATTAAATCTCTTGGGAAATACCCAAAAATACGCCCAACCTATATGAGAGAATTAGCAAAAGGGGAAAATATCAATAAAAATCATGAGAAACACAAATGAGAAACTTTTTAGTAGTAAGGGTATAACTTATAGATATAACTTAGAAAACCAGCTATTGCTTTTATCATTTCATTGAAACTATTATTCCAATATAATGAAGCCTATCTTTCTAAAAACATTGATGTTTTCTTATAATATTCGACTTTTTGTAAACAGAACCCCTGCCAGAGAGTTAATGCTGAATAAGGTGATCTTCTATTAGGGTTTCCAAGATTATAAACATTTGTGCAAAGAAGTTGTTTCATCTTCCTCACTTGACACGGCTAATGGATTAGAACCAGCAACTTCGTGAGAGTAGTCTCAGTTTCTTTAAAAACTGAAAAGCTGCACAACATTTTCAGTAAGCCAGAGCTCTTTCAATTCTAAACACAATCGTGAAGCATTACTTTTGAAGTAGATAAAGAATTTGTATCAGAGAACTATAGTGGCCTAACACTGGTAAAAAGCTACAGTGCAGTCCCAAAGATATTTTCTAATATTGTTTAGTTCAAACTAAAGCTAAAGAAGATTAAATCAAATCTACAGGAACTAAAATTTGACCTTGAGTCTATCCTGCCTAAATTTCAAAATCATCTCAGGAACAGGTTTGAGGCTTTGAACACTATTGAGCAAAGACCAGACGAGCTGTGAGAAGATATCAAGAATATTATCCAAGAAGAATGCAAAAGGTCAGAACAAAGACAGAGGAAGAAGAGACCAAGAGCTGGATGCCAGAAGAGACTGAATATAGCATTAAAATGCCAACAAGCCAAAGCAAAGGGAAGAAATCAAAAAGTTAAGGAACTGAACAGAGGATTTCAAAGGGCAGTGCAGGAAGACAAAGCAAAGAATTAGAATGAAATGTTGCAAAGACTCAGAAAATCAAAAGGGACAAACTCATATGACATTTCTCAAGCTGAAGGAACTGAAGAGCAAATTCAAGCCTCGAGTGCAATACTTAAGGATGCTTTGGACAGAATAGTAAATGATTCAGAAAGCATTAGAAGAATATAGAAGGCATATACAGAGCCACTGTACCAGAAAGAATTGGCGGGCACAGAAGAATTTAATGAAACAATAAACAATCAAGAGCCTGTGGTGATGAAGGAGGAAGTTTAAGCTTCTCTGAAGGAACTGGTAAAAAACAAGACCCCAGGAATTGATGGCATACCACTGACATGTTTCAACAAACTGATGCTGCCCCTGATGTGCTCGCCAGGTTGTGCCAAGAAATCTGGAGGACAACCACCTGGCCAACTGACTGGAAAGAGATCCATACTTGTTCTCATTCCTAAAAAAGGTGACCAGACAGAGTGAAGAAATTATCAAACAATATTGCTACTATCACATGCAAGCAAGATCTTGCTGAAAATTATCCAAAAACTACTGGAACGACACATCAACAGAAAACTGCCAGATGTGCAGGCTATGTTTACAAGAGGTCGTGGTAGTAGAGATATTATAGTTAATATATTAGACGGATCTTGCCTGAAAGCAGAGAGAACCAGAAGAATGTCTGTGTTTCAGTGACTATACAAAGACATTTGGTTGTATGAATCACAAACTGTGACTAACTCTGAGATGAATGGGAATTCCAGAGCACTTGACTGTGCATATGCAAAACCTGTACTTGGATCAGGAGGCAGTCGTCAAAACAGAGCAAGAAAACACTGCATGATTTAAATCGGGAAAAGGTGTACATCAGGGATGTGTCCTACCTCCATCATCTGGAAGGCTGGGCTTTATGAGGAAGAATGTGGCATCAGGATCAGAGGTAAACTCATCATTAATCTGCATTATGCAGATAACACAACCCTGTTTGCCAAAACTGAGGAGCATCTGAGGCATTTGCTACAGAACGTCAAGGACTGAAGCCTTAAATATGGATTGAAGTTCAACATCAAGAAAACAATGATTCTCACCACTGGGCCAAGTAGCAGCATCATGATATGGTGAAGAGGTTAAGATTGTTAACAGCTAAAAAAAAAAAAGATTGTTAACAGCTTCAGTTTGCTTGGCTCCACAATCAACACTCTTGGTACCAGCAGCCAGGAAATTAAAAGACAAATTGCACTGACAAAGTCTGCTGTTAAGAACGTCTCCAGAGTACTGAAGAGAAACAATATCAGTCTGGAGACTAAAGTGTGCCTGATCTAGGCCATGGTCTTTTCAATTAATTGTTATGCATCTAAAAGCTGGACAATGATTAAGGATGACAGAAAAAGAAATGACATCTCTGAGCTGTAGTGCTGGAAAAGAGTACTGAATATACCATCAACTACTCGGAAAACAAATAGGTTCAATCTTGAGAGGGTGAAACCAGGCTGCTTCTTGTTGGCAAGGATTCTGCAGCTTCGTCTGACATACTTTGGGCATGTTTCAAGGAGACCAGTCTTTGGAAAAGGATATAATAGTTGGAAGGGTGGAGGGACACCGAAAAAGAGGAAGACCTGGGATGAGATGGATTAACTCAGTGACTGGGATAATAGTGGTAGGTGTGTCAAGTTAGAGTTCAGAGCTGTTGCACACAGGGTCACTAGGAGTCATAAGCAACTTGACAGCACATAATAACAACTTTGTTTAGTTAATATTATGCAAATTTAAATTGGCTAGAGCTATAATTCCAAACAACTTCTAGCAAAAATTTATCTGTAAATTTCATAAAATTGTTCATAAGTACTTGCAAATCTTTTTTAAACCAGTAAACAGCCTTGAAAATGAATATGTAAAAAGAAAAAAAAATCTTTGCATTTTATGGCCATTACAACAAAAGGCAAATATTTATTTTTATTATTTGCTGTACTGTTGTTACTGTTGCAACGTGCTGTCAAGTCAGCTGCAACTCATAGCGACCTTATGAACAATAGCTCTGAACTTTCCCCTGTTCTGAGCCAACCTCACCATCTCCAACAAACCTGACCCACTGCCACAGTCACTAGCTTCTTCAAAAACTACACATGCAGCAATTCCGAAGAAAAAGAAAATTTCATGCTAATTCACAACAGTCTACACACTAAGCTTCCATTTCACACAAATTAAAACTTCTATATAAAATAATCGTATTCACCTTAAGCACTAACAATGAAAGTATGAAAAGTGTGTCCCCACTGGAATGTGCATTGTCTTTTACAAGCTACTATTTGAAAGATTGCACTCTGGTGGTTAAGGAGTTACACTACCAGTAAGGCATTCAAATCCACCAGCTGTTACATATAGAAAAATGGGATATGTCCTCCCTTGTGATTTAAAGTCTCTGAAAACCCTCTGCTGGGTCAGCTCTGAGACCGATGACCAGCAATGAGAGTATTTGGAAGAGTAGGACTTCTTTCCAATCATTAAAGGAGATGAATAGCCAAATACACAAAGAGCAAAAAAAGCCCACCTTACCACTATTTGTAAAATATCCTCCTGATTGCTTTTGTTATACTGGGCTACAATCTGAAAACCAATACTAGGAAGTAAATACTGTCATGAAAATGAGATAAGGCAGGGAACTTAAAAGATGCCATATTGGTAAGTACAATCTGAAATTCTAAGAAAGCAAAAAAAGGCTTAAGACACAGAAACAATAATTTTGAAAAGTGACAGCAACATTAATTTCCTAAATTCTAAGGCTCAAGAAATGAGCAATAAAACTAAAAAAGAGCTGTTTTTCCTAGTGAGGAAAATTTTATTGATGAGAATCTTGAGAAGGGAAAGAAATCTGATACCTGGAAAAAGAAAATATATTTATCTTTGTTTAATCTTTTTCCATTGAGACAAAGCTCCCTATTTATAAACTGGGTGGTATCTCATTTCTTAGAATTTCACAAGGAAAAGTAGAATCATGGGCACTCATGACTGGAAATTATTGTTATAGCCAACTATCCAATGCTTGATTTTGCTCCTATATATAACCTCTCCAAACTACTAAAGAGCAATGATATCAGTCTGGAGACTAAGGTGTGCCTAATCTAGGTCATTGTCTTTGCAATTTCTTGCTATGCATCAGAAAGCTGGAAAATGACTCAGGATGATAGAAAGAGAATCGATGCCTTGAACTGTGGTGCTGGAGAAGAGTACTGAATATACCATGAATTGTTAGAACAAAAAAGTTCATCCTAGAGAGGGTGAAAGCAAGCTTCTCCTTAGAGGCAAGAATTCTGAAGCTTCATCTGACATACTTTGGACATGTTGTAAGGCGAGACCAGTCCTTGGACAGGGACGTCATGCTTGGGAGGGTGAAAGGACAGCACGAGAGAGGAAGATCCTTAATGAGATGGATTGAGTAAGTGACTGGCGTAATGGGGGTAATGTGTCAGAAACAATAAGATCGGCACAGTATAGAGCAGGGTTTAGGGCTCTTGTACATAGGATCATTCATTAAGAGTCACAGGCAACTCAATGGCACATAACAATAACAACAACATATCATCCTTGCCAATCAACTGTTGATAGGATATGAAAAAAGGATAACATTGCTTCAGGAGAAAAATATTACACCCTCTACGAGGTGGATTGATTCAGTGACTGGTATAATTGGGATGGGAGTGTCAGAGACAGTGCCAGTGGCACAGGACAGAGCAGAGTTTAGGGCTGTTGTACATAGGGTCGCTATGAGTCGCAAACGACTCGACGGCACATAACAACAACAACAACAACAACCGTCAAGATAAATATAAACAAATTTCCTTGCGCTATAAGACATGGCCCCTCCCATTCCAGTGCACTTAATAACTTTATAGGAAGTTAAAAGCCTTTGAGTAACACAGAAGTCTTGTGATTGGTCACTTACTGAAAGGTGGTACTTTGAAATCACCTAATGGTATCAGAAAAGAAAAGTCTGTCTTTCTGCTCCCCTAACAATTATTGCCAAGAAAATCCTATGAAGCCCTTTTACTCCATAACACAAAGGGTCCTAAGGAGTTGGAATTCATTCGATGTTCTTGTCACGTGCTGTCATGGAGACTATGACTCATGTTGTTGTTGTTATGTGCCGTCGAGTCGCTTGCGACGCATAGTGACCCTACGTACAACAGCCCTAAACTCTGCTCTGTCCTGTGCCAATCGCACTGTTTCTGACACTCCCATCCTGATTATACCACTCACTGAATCAATCCACCTCATAGAGGGCTTTCCACTCCTGTGCTGTCCCTCCACCCTCCCAAGCATGATGTCC